GAGTAGGAAAGCGGGAGTCCACAAAACCCAGGGGTTGCTCCATATAAACAGTGTCAAATAAATCACCGTTTAGGAAGGCATTTTTAACTTCAAGTTGTTGAAGTGGCCATTTGTTGAGAACGGCTAGAGAGAGGATAATTTGAACTGTAGAAGCTTTGGAAACCGGGCTAAAAGTAGCAGAGTAGCAATGTCGGGAACTTGAGTGAAACCCTATGCAACAAGACAATCTTTGAACTTGTCGATTGTGCCATCAACAAGAAACTTGGTACGAAACACCCATTTGGACCCAACAATATTTGATTGCGATGGTCGTGGTACTAAATCCCATGTTGAATTGAGTTTTAGTGCTTTCATCTCATCACACATAGCAGCGAACCAGTTTGGATCCTTTGCAGCCGATTTGAAGCCTATGGGCTCCTTGGTAGCAAAAAGAGCATGATGTAAGGCCGAAGTAGACACATGTGAAAGATCCACAAAGTGTCGAGGCTTAAAAATACTAGCCTTTGAGCGAGTTACCATGGAATGGCCCGAAGCGGAAGGTTGGGAGAGCGTGACAGGAGGAGTAGGCGACAATGGTGATGGCGGATCATTAAGTACAGGAGAAGGCGAGGGTTGTTCATTCAGAATAGGGGCTGCATGTGAGGATGGGTCGATACATAATTCACATGAGGGAGTGAAAGTCGGTTTTGGAACCGGAGGGGTAGTTTGCGGATGAGATGGTGGGATAGGCATTGGATGGTCATTAGAATAGGTAGACAAAAATAATCTGATCAGAGAAGTTTTATGTTGATGACCTTGTAATGCGTGCTGTAGCCAAGAAAAACACATGGAGCACTCCTGGGAGCAAGTTTATAAGAAGAATAATCCCGGAGATATGGGAAAACACAACATCCAAAAACACGAAAATTGCCATAATTAGGTGTTGAGGAAAATAACAGTTCATAAGGTGACTTGTTGTCAAGTAGCGTTGTGGGCAGTTGATTGATAATATAAGTAGCAAAACGAAATGCATGTGTCCAAAAAGTAGCAGGAACGTGAGCATTAAACATGATGGCTAAACCAGTTTCAGTGAGATGTCGATGCTTACGTTCTGCACGTCCATTCTGTTGAGGAGTATAGGGACATGAAAGTTGATGATGTGTGTCGTTACTAGAAAGGAGATTGCGCACTTGGTTGCTTGTGAATTCTGTCCCACCATCTGATTGAAAGGCCTTAACTTTTGAAGAAAATTGTGTTTGAACCAGTGCAACAAAAGCATTGAATACATTGTAAAAATCAGATTTTGCTTTCATGGGATAGAACCATGTGAACCTGGAATAATCATCAATGAAGATAGCATAATATCGAAATCCATCACTAGACACAACAAGAGGCCCCCATAAATCACAGTGAATTAAATCCAAAACATGCATATAATGTTTTAAATTAAGATTAAAAGATAACCGTTTGCTTTTTGCTAATTGACAAGAAGAGCATATGCATGGGGTTGGTAAAACCGAAGTCAGGGATAAACAAGCCAATTTATTTAAAAAAGAAATAATGAACATGACCCAATCGACTATGTCATAGATCAAAAGAGGGTTTAAGGCGTCTGGAAGAGAGCTGAACCAAAAAAGCTTATTGTCCCTGCTCAAGAACATATAAACCGTTTCTACGTCTTCCTTGAGCTAGTGTTTCCTTGGAGTGTTGGTTCTGAATAAAAAACATAGGATCAGAAAACATAACAACAACTTGATTATCTTGGGTGAGCTTGCTAACTGAAAGCAGTCTTTTGGTGAGCTTAGGAACCACAAGGACATCAAGTAAAGAAATAGTAGGAGAGATGTGAGATCTGCCAATATGAGAAATAGGAGCACTATGACCATTACCAAAAACAATATATTCACTACCAGAGTATGATGAAGTAGCATCAAGGTGAGCAGAAGTGGGAGTCATGTGTGTTGATGCTCCTGTATCAACAAACCAATCAGGAGTAGAAGTGTTGCAGTGTGCATGAAAGGCTTCAACAAGATTTGCATCTTGAGTTGAGGATTTCTGAGAGAAGGTATGTAAATCAGGACATTGACTTGCGTAATGCCCTTCCTTCCGGCATAACTGGAAAGGAGGTGGTCGTTTATTACCACGACCTTTACCCCTATTGGAGTAACCATGAGAGGAAGATCTACCACGACCACGTGAGGAATCATAACTGGTGCGAGAGGTTGTGGTGTTGAAAGCAACCTGATCAACAACGGAGTCGGTAATAGATTGAAGAAACATCTCGTGACTCTCAGCTTGGGAGATGAGATCACGAAACTTAGGACTCGGGGTAATAAGACGTTGGGTGGTGGAGAAGGTTTCAAAGGCGGAACCAAGACCTCGAAGAAACCAGTGTGCTTTGTCATCTTCAGAAAGTGGGTGACCAATAGCTTGAAGTTGATCACAAATGCCCTTGAATTTATGAGAAAATTCAGAAACAGTAGTAGAGCCTTTCTTAAGTTGACGAAGAGGCTCAGCAAGCATGTGAGTTCACTCAAGAGAGTCATGTTGATAGATGGCTGCAAGAGCAGACGTGACAGCGTGATAGGTGCTGTGACCGAGGGTCTCGGCCATTGACTCTTCAGATAGAGAGGACTGATAGAGAGGACTAAATGGAGATCAGGGCCCGTTGATCAGCAGCGGTCCAGGAGGCATAGGCAGGATTTGTTGAAGTCGTTTCACCAGTGGTAAGGGTTGCCGGCGGTGGAGGAATAGTTCCATCAACGTAGTCTGTAAGTTGTAAGTTGTTGGTAGGCCAGAAGGGGAACCATTTGTTTGTGCCAAAGAAGATAATTGGTGGACGAAAGTTTAATGGTGAGCATGTGGAGAACAATAGAAAGAGGAAGAGGAGCATCAGTAGTGGTAGAGTCACCGACCATGATTAGAATCAAGAAGAGAGAAAGGAGAATGGCGGCCAAGAAGATTAGGCTGATACCATATTAGGTTTTAGAAATCTCACGTTAATGTGAGAGATGTATATTGATCAATATATATAATACAAGCATAACAAACTTAACTAAAATACAAGATATATACAATCTCCTATAATTATCTAAGATTCGTTTGAATCATTCCTATTAGTCATCCACTTAGATTCGTAAATGTACAAAAGAAAACTTTATATAATCAAGTAAGATTATGCTTTACTCATCATGTTGTAAACTTATTAAAAACATTATAATAATTTATGTATTCCTTATGATGTTCTTGGGTTCTTAGTCCTTAGGGCATCCACAATACATTGAACTCTGTAGAGTTCAATGGAGTGCCACATCATCATTCACTATTCCATTCAACTCTATTCATTTTTATCTCACAATGCAATAAACTCTAAAAGTTCAATGAAACATATTAAAAAAATATTTATTTTAAGATTTAAAGACTTTCCTTTTTCCCATTGAAGAGTTCAATGGTCATTAAACTCCAAATCCATTGAATGCCAATGTGGCATTTCACAATGGTGGAGTTGTATCCATTGAATGACAACTAGGCATGACACCTCATTCAACTCTTCCATTAAACTCCTCATTGTAGATGCTCTTAGAGAGGACGATAGCTGCATTTAAGATAGTAAGACATTTAGTAGGAAGAACAAGAAAAGATTTCATTAAAAAATTATCAATATGTTCAATAGTTACCTCTCCAATTAGCTTGCGTTTCCCTTGTTCATCAAGTGGAGCTCCATTTCCACTTCTTAAACTTCCTTTTGATTCTTTAGAGGTTAACAATTTCTCCACCCACAATGGTGGAGCTTTATAAATACACCCTTAAACTTAAAATCAATCTATATTAATTATATCATTTTAGTATCTGTAATAATAGAATAATTTATGTAAAAAACTTAATGGTTTTAATGGAGATTTCGCTTTATGAATGCGACCTCAACAAAGATGTATTTGCAGAATCTGCAATTACGTGAGCGTGAAAGCATGATCTTGTGTGTGACCAACATATGGTAAGTATAATCTAATTTATGTAAAAAAAGTTTTGACATTGAGGGCAATATGATCATTCTACATTTTTATTTTAATTATAATGATTCTTACATAGAAAAATTAATTATAAAATATTAAAAAATATTTAAAAATATATTTGCATTAATACAATATTTTGAAAGTTAAGAAGAGTAAATACATATTTAAGTTTTAGGCTAGACAAATGTAAAACTTAATAAAGACATATACGAAATTCACTCTATAATTTAACATGCGCAACATGGCGAAAGTCACCCTATAATTAAAATGATATACGTTTAGTTATTCTATAAAAATGGTTCAAGATTTTGGTTTCAAATAATCTTATTATAACACACTTAAAATGTATAATTTAATTTATTTCAAATCTTTTTTTTGTTTTAGAAAAACAAAAGCCGTGAGATAAATCGTTGGACAGGGTAGACGTAATTTGTTTGTAAGATTAGTCTATGTCATTTTAAAATTTTGTAATATAGTGAATTTTCGACAATGGAAGCCCATATTTATTCTTCGGCTTTGCATTTTCTAAGTATATTATTACGTTTTTATTTCTTTATAGTTTTTAATTAGCCAGGTTCTCGCCATCTTTAGCCATTACCTAATAAAACTCATGTTTTTCGATATGACAAACTCAAAGAAGCAACAACCAATGTTTAAAAAATCAGCAATGATTCAATTTTCGAAAGAACATAAATGAATATATTTACTCATATGCAATAACATGGCGATTATCTGCCCATTATCAAATTTTGATTACATAAAATGACTCAAAAATATATGTACGTAGTGTAAAAAAAGGGTAGTGCTTTCAACATTGAGCCGTCTAAGTTGTTTTTAATCAACAATGCACTAAAAAATAAAAACCAAAAGAAAGCCCAAATTACATCTACACTTTGTTTTGACTAATTTTCCATGGTATACACACTTGCACAGAATTTGTGGGAGATAGCTTTGAATAGAATTAATATTTGTGAAAGATCTCTTCTAACAAAAATTATTTTGTGCGCGTCAGGAATATGATTCTTCTTCTGTAGCCTGCATTTTTAGTACTCCCTGGCTACTTAAACTCTGTGAGGCTGATGGAGAATTGTCTTGCGTATGCCTTGCGGGAGATGACCAAAAACGTCTAGGTGGAACTTGTAATGATTGAAAGCTTCCTTCCAACATCTCCACAACTTTACTTATAGATGGCCGATCTGATGGATCAGACTGGATGCACCACAGGCTCACCATCACCAACTTCCTAGCTAATTCCTCTTCTTCTTCGGTTGTCACCCCATCAACCCCTAGATTATCTCCAGTTTCTACTTTCTTGTATATCCAATCCGGAAAATATGCTTCACTCATGCTTGTTGTGTTAGACTTGTTCTTTTTACGTGCACCTGTCATTTCAAGAACCATCATCCCATAGCTATATACATCAGATTTATGTGAAGCACCACCAAAACTCTTGAAAAATACTTCAGGGGCCATGTATCCAGCAGTACCTCTTGCACCCGTTACAGATACAATACTCTCCTTCCTTTTGCACAACTTAGCCAATCCGAAATCAGATATTTTTGGAACAAATTCTTCGTCCAATAGAATGTTGTGAGGCTTTATGTCGAAGTGCACAATCCTTGTGTTACAACCTTGATGTAGATACTCTAGTCCCCGTGCAATTCCTTTTGCGATTTGGAATAACGTGTTCCAGTCTAAATGAGATCCATCACCACGAAGAAACTTATCCAAAGATCCATTTGGCATAAACTCATACATGAGGGCTCTTTTCTTTCCATCAAAGCAGAACCCTAAGAGTTTCACTATGTTGACATGAGAAGTTCTACCGATGCTAGCAACTTCATTAATGAAATCATTCCCATCTCCAATGGCATTACCCAAGAGCTTTACTGCAACTAGTTTCCCATCCGACAATTGTCCTTTGTATACACTTCCATACCCTCCTTGCCCCAGTTTGTCATCGAAGGAGCTTGTCATTTTCTTGATTTGTGAATACTTGAATCTATTTGGGGCCATAGTCCCATAGTTCCTTATGAATATTTCTATTTGATGATTTCTGGTGGTTCCCTGTTGTCCATACCCAATGCAACCTTATGTTAGGGAATTGGGACAATTTTATGTAGAAATTTTAACAGATATTTTTTTTTGAGTTCCTTACCAGAATATTAGACTTTCCATTTAGCCGAAGAGCACCTAGAGTTTCCCATAACCTCTTTTTTCTATATATAATGACAAACATCATGAATAAGATTCCAACAACGCTGCATGAAATGCCTGCACATTGTTTTCCATAATCATTAAACACATCTAAAAAATATGGTATCATTTCTTACGACATCCATAATGCATTCAACTCCATAGAGTTTAATGGATTGTTACATTATCTTTCTACAATCCATACAGCTCTATCATTTTTTCCTACAAACTCTATAAAGTTCAATATAATATTACAAAGAGTAATTTATAGTATATATTTAAGAATTAAAAAGTTTCATTTTTTCCATTGAAGAGCTCAATGGTCATTGAACTCCAAATCCATTGAATGCCAAGATGACATCTCATAATGATAGAGTGTCATCCATTGAATGATATCTAGACTTGTCAACTCATTCAACTCACCATTGTTGATGCTCTTATGATACATCGAAAAGGGAGGTACAATTGTATATTCAAAAGAAAACTTTTTCATGAATGTGTGCTTGGCTAAACAATGATAAAACCTTGTTTACTTACCGATAATAAAATTCCTTGCAGCTCCCTTGGATCCTGTTTAAGAAACAAAGGTAATATCGATCTTAGTTGAAGTTATATTGATGGAGATCAAAATAGAAATAGTCTAAAGGTAAAAATATATGAAGGAAAATTAGATAATTAGAGCTTGTTTGAATGAGTCTTTATATTGAGGGACAGGTCAAACAGAGATTGTTGAGTACACAACTTAATGTTGTCATTTTTATATATGATTTTTTTTAATGACTAGGCAGCATGAGTAACTATTGTGTAGGAGACTGGGTAATTGAGTTCCTTTTATCACTTAAGCCCCCCCCCCCCCCCCCCATGTAAGGGATGTTGTATTAGCGTTTACACACTTCAAAAAACAAACGATTTAGACAATTGCACACATAGTAGTAATGCAAAACGAAAAACAAGAACAAGATTCATTTGTGTAGTTTACACGATCAAAGTGATCTGCTACATCCACACGGTGAACACGAGAGAGAGAGAGAGAGAGAGAGAGAGAGAGAGAGAGAGAGAGAGAGAGAGAGAGATTTATTGATTTCTATTGAATTGCCTTTGTATATTAGGTTACACAAATTCAAGTGATATAAATACTAGTATGTTGACCTAAAAATCCAATAAGCCTAAGCCTGCTAAATATTATAAATTTGGACCATTACTCATTTTGGTGTTGAATCAGATAAATAACTCTTATAAATTTGGTCCATTACTCATTTTGGTGTTGAATCAGATAAAAAAAAGTAGCCCATGAAAAATATATTCTTGTGGCAGTGCCCCATTGACCATTGCATGTTGGTTTGAGAGCGAGACAACTTTAGGCTCCATAACTTAACATCTTCCAATTGCAGGTTGGTGTACAAATTTACTAATACATTTTAGAACTTTGTGTTGGAAATGTTGTCCAAGGTCATTAACTGTTTTGGTAATATTTCCAATTTACTGATACATTTTATAATGTATTAAATTATTAAGGAATTAATAAGTTAATTAGAATTAATTGATAAATTAATTAAAATAATTTAATTAAATAAGGAGGTTGATTATTAAATAATCCAAGAGATTAACTAGAATATTCCAGAACCCCCTAGAAGGAGGGTATGGACGGTTTTTCATATCCCTTTGATAGGGATGTGACAAGTTTGAAATATGGAAATGATTAGCATAAAACCTTAGAGTTTGTATCATTTTAGAATACTCTTTGCCTGCCTATAAATAGATTGATATGGTTAAACTGTTGGATTAGGTGTTTAAGCCAATAACTAAATTGGTATATACTTGAATTAGAACAGTCCTTTTAGGTTGCCCTCAAACCTGCTAATTGAATATGATGACTTTTGGAGAGAGAGAGACCAAATTATTAATTTTATTATATGATTAATAAATAACAATAAATGAATTTATTAATATATTATGAGAATAATATATTAATTAGAAATAGTATTACTTAATTAACAATTAATCAAAAATTTATTATAATTAATTTTGAGATTAATTGGATTAATTAAAAGTGCAAGGACCTAAGCTGTAATTGTTAAATAATTGAAAAAAAAGGCATCCAGAACCTTCCTAGGGTTTGGACGATTTTAGGATGTATCTTTGAGGCATCTGGAATATTCCTTGAAAATAATTAGGAATCCAGATAATTACCTAATTTAAGATATTATTATTTTAATCAAGTAAGGGTTATCTAGGGTTTTCCTAACAGCTATGAATAGCCCTTCACCCCTTCATATTTTCGGCCATCGCTTCCCTCTAAAGGATAGCCTAAATTATACCCCCCTTCTCTTATCTCTTCAAGTTTCCTAGTTGCTAGGGTTTCGGTGTGAACCATCAGAGGCACGAGATTTCTAGTGCTTGTTTCCAAGAGTTTTCAAGAAGGATTTGTTTGATTAGTTTGCTATAACAAATCAAAAGGTATGTAACCTTCTCCTATGAATTTCGATTTCATTAGGGTTATAGTAATTTTGTTAATTCAAAGTATGTTTCCTTTATGTGAAAGACATAGATCTTTTAGGTTGCATGTACCGAAATTCTTAATGGTTAAGTATTTTCCGCTTTGTGTAATTTTGTTGTAACCTATAAAAACCATCATAAAAATTATATGCTAATTAATCCCTTCAAAAATCCTCCCCTCTTTCTCCCTTCTCTTTAGATGAAAATCACACCTTCTCTCCTAGGATTTTGGTGATTTTTGATTAAACCCTAGATTGATTTAATTACTTCTTGCCTTTGTTGTTGTGGGCCTGATTCCATTAAAGGGATTCTCTTTTGGATCCTAAATCTTGAAACTAAGGTGGCACGTATGAGATCACAAGGAAGTCATCAAGAGGTTGTTCCATACCACTCTTTGTCGTTTTTCGAAGTAGGATGCTATAGCAGTAAAACCTAGATCCTTAGGTTGCATGTACACTTAGGTATATCAGGTTTTGATTTTTCTGCTCCCTATGTAATGTGTACTTGATGCTAACAATCCCCAACACTTTGTAACCCCCTTCTCTCTCTCTATCTCTCTCCTTATCTCCCTTTTTCTCTATTTATCTCTCTTTCTCTCTCTCTCTCTCTCTCTCTCTCTCTAGTATGTGCCTTTTCTTCAAATATTTGGAAGACTAGTTGAAGTCATACACAACTTCATATTCTCTGTAGTCACTACTTTGGTAAACATATATGTTCGATTCTTTATTCCAAGGATTTTGCTTCAAACTCAGAGTCTCGTCATAGGTCTCATATAAAGGGGTGCCTCATCTGAATGTGTTGTGTCCTACTGTGAAACCCTATATTCTCTGCCAAGTGAATTGCCCTTTGGATTTCATAATGCAATACATTATCTTCATGATGCATCCCAAGTTATGATAAGAAGTTCTCTAATCATATAAGCTCCTTTATTTCTTCTACAATCTTCATGTACTCTACTTCTATGCTTGAAAGAGAAAGACTCTTCTATAACCTAGACATCCAACTGATTTTTGTACGCCTAATTGTGAATATATAACCATTTCTGCTCTTTCTCGAATCTACACAAGCCCTAAATCAACATTAGCAAAACCTTCATAACTACCACTTTTCGTCTTAAATATAAGGCAACTTCGGAAGTCCCTTTCGAGTATCATACCTACCATTTAACTACTTCCTAACGCTCTCCCTGGATTAGACATAAAGCGGTCACAACTCCCATTACATGAGTAATATTTGGTCTGATGTACAACATAACATACATCAATCTACCAACTGCTTAGGCATAGGGAAATTTAATCATCTCTTCTTTGTCTTCTTCCTTCTACGGGGACAGTTTATTTGAGAATCTCAATTGAATTCCCAAAGGTGTACTTTTAGGTTTTGCATCTGAAATGTTTAACTTCTCCAGAGCAATTAGGACGGAATTTTTTTAGAAAGTTTCAAAGCACCAATAACTCTGTCTATGGGTATGCTTATGCCCAATATATGCTTAGCATCCCATAGGTCCTTCATCTCAAAATCTATGGACAACTATATCTTTATGTTTTTGACTTTCATGCAGTTTTGATCCAGCAATCAACATGTCATCAATATACATTAAAAGAATCATATATGAGGAGCCGGACTTCTTTCGTAAACAACCAGGATCCATCTTACATCTCTTCTACCCATTCTGCTGCATGAAACTATCACGCAATTGTCGTTTGTAGACACTTCCATACCCTCCTTGCCCTATTTTGTCATCGAAGGAGTTTGCCATTTTCTTGATTTGTGAATACTTGAATCTATTTGGGGCCATAGTTTCATAATTCCTTATAAATATTTCTATTTGATGATTTCTGGTGGTACCCTTTTGTCCATACCCAATGCAAGCTTATGTTAGGGAACAAGTTTGTGTAGAAATTTAAACATGTATTATTTTTTTGAGATCCTTACCAGAAGATTAGACTTTCCATTTAGCCGAAGAGCACCTAGAGTTTCCCATAACCTCTTTTTTCTATATAGAATGACAAACATCATGAATAAGATTCCAACAACGCTGCATGAAATGCCTGCAAATCATTTTCCATGATCATTAAACACATCTAAAAAATTGGTATCATTTCTTACGACATCCATAATGCATTCAACTCCATAGAGTTTAATGGATTGTTACATCATCTTTCTACAATCCATATAACTCTATCATTTTTTCCTACAATGCACTGAACTCTACAAAGTTCAATACAATATTACAAAAGGTAATTTATAGTATATATTTTAGAATTAAAAACTTTCCTTTTTTCCATTGAAGAGCTCAATGGCCATTGAACTCCAAATCCATTGAACGCCAAGATGACATCTTACAATGATAGAGTTTCATCCATTGAATAACATCTAAACGTACCACCTCATTCAACTCACCATTGTTGACGCTCTTATGGTACATCGAAAAGGGAGGTATAATTTTATATTCAAAAGAAAACATTTTCATGAATGTGTGCTTTGCTAAACAATGAGAAAACCTTGTCTACTTACCGATAATAAGCTTCCTTGCAGCTCCCTTGGATCCGGTTTGAGAAAAAAAGGTAATATCGATCTTAGTTGAACTTATATTAATGGAGATCAAATAGAAATAGTCTAAAGGTAAAAAAATATATGAAGGAAAATTAGAAAATTAGAGCTTATTTGAATGAGTCTTTATATTGACGGGCAGGTCAAACCGAGACTGTTGAGTACACAACTTAATGTTGACATTTTTTATATGTGATTTTTTAAAATGACTAGGCAGCATGAGTAACTATTGTGTAGGAGACTGGGTATTTGAGTACCTTTTACCACATAAGCCCCCCCCCCCCCCCCCCCCCCACCACCACCACCACCACCCATGTGAGGGATGTTGTATTAGGGTTTAAACACTTCAACAAACAAACGATTTAGACAATTGAAAAACGGAAAAAAGAATATGATTCATTTGTGTAGCTCACACGATCAGAGTGATCTACTAAATCCACTCGGTGAACATGCGAGAGAGAGAGAGAGAGAGAGAGAGAAAGAGAGATTTATTTAATTCTATCGAATTGTCTCTGTATATGAGGTTACATAAATTCAAGTGATATAAATACTAATATGTTGACCTAAAAAACCAATAAGGCTCGGCCCGTTAACTCTTATAAATCTGGATCATTACTCATTTTGGTGTTGAATCTGATAAAATAAAGTAGCCCATGAAAAATATATTCTTGTGGCACTGCCCCCTTGAACATTGCATGTTGGTTTGGGAGTGGGACACGAATAGGCTCCATAACTTAACATCTCCCAATTGGTGGTGGTGAACAGATTTACTGATACATTTTAGAACTTTGTGTTGGAAATGTTGTCCAATGTCATTTACTGTTTTGGTAATATTTCCAATTTACTGATACACTTTAATAATGTATTAATCTATTAACAAATTGATAAGTTAATTATAAATTAATTGATAAATTAATTAAAATGATATAATTAATTAAGGAGGTTGATTATTAATTAGTCCAAGGGATTAATTGGAATATTCCATAACCCCATGGAAGGAGGGTATGGACGGTTTTTCATACCTTTGATAGGGATGTGGTAAGTTTGAAATAAGCAAAATATGAGGATAAAACCCTAGAGTTTGTCTCCTTTTAGAATACTCTTTGCCTGTCTATAAATAGATTGCTACTGTTAAACTGTTGGATTAGGTGTCTAAGCCAATAACTAAATTGGTATATACTTGAATTATTATCAGAGTCCTTTTAGGTTGCCCTCAAACCTGGTAATCGAATAGGATGACTTTTGGAGAGAGAGACTGAATTATTGATTTATTATATGATTAATAAATAAAATTAAATAAATTTATTAATATATTATAAGAATAATATGTTAATTAGAAATAGTATTACTTAATTAAAAATTAATCAGAAAATAATTAGAATTAATTTTGGGATTAATTAGATTAACTAAAAGTGTAAGGACCTAAGCTGTAACTGTTAAATAGCTGAACAAAAGGCATTCCGAAACCTTCCTAGGGTTTGGAAGGTTTTGGGAGGTAGCTTTGGGGCATCTGGAATATTTCTTGAAAATAATTAGGAAACCAAATAATTACCTGATTTAAGATATTATAATTTTAATCAAGTAAGGGTAATCTAGGGTTTTCGTAACAGCTATAAATAGGCCTTCACCCCTTCATATTTTCGGCCATCACCGCCCTCTAAAGGATAGCCTAAATTATACCTCCCTTCTCCTCTCTCTTCAAGTTTCCTAGTTGCTAGGGTTTGGTTGTGAACCATCAGAGGCACGAGGTTTCCGGTGCTTGCTTCCAAGAGTTTTGAAGAAGGATTGGTTTGATTTGTTAGCTATAACAAATAAAAAGGTATGTAACATTCTCTTATGAATTTCGATTTCATTAGGGTTATAGTAATTTTGGTAATTCAAAGTATGTTGCCTTTATGTGAAAGACATAGATCTTTTTAGTTGCATGTGCGCAAATTCTTAATGGTTAAGTATTTTCCGCTTTGTATAATTTTGTTGTAACCTATAAAAAACCATCATAAAACTTAGAGGTTAATCAATCCCTTCATAAATCGTCCCCTCTCTCTCCCTTCTCCTTGGATGAAAATCACACCTTCTTTCATAGGGTTTTGGTGATTCTCGGTTAAACCCTAGATTGGTTTAATTACTTCTTTCCTCTGGTGTTGTGGGTCTGATTCCATTAACAAGATTCTCTTTTGGATCCTACATCTTGAAACTAAGCTAGCACGTATGAGTTCACAAGGAAGTCATCAAGAGGTTAGTCAAGACCACTCTATGTCGTTTTTCAAAGTAGGATGCTATATTAGTAAAACATATATCCTTACGTTGCATGTACATTTAGGTATATCAAGTTTTGATTTTTCTACTCCCTATGTAATGTGTACTTGATGCTAACAATCCCCAACACTTTGTGCCTTCTCTTCAAGTATCTAGAAGACCAGTTGAAGTCATACACAATTTCATATTCTCTGTAGTCACTACCTTGGTAAACATCTATGTTCGATTCTTTCTTCTAAGGATTATACTTCAAACTCATAGTCTCGTTATAGGTCTCATATAAAGGGGTGCCTCATTTGAATGTGTTGTGTCCTACTGTGAAACCCCATATTCTCTTCCAAGTGAACTGCCCTTTAGATTTCATAATGCAATACATTATCTTCATGATGCATCCCAAGTTATGATAAGAAGTTCTCTAATCATTTAAGCTCCTTGATTTCTTCTTGCTTTCTTCTACAATCTCCATGTACTCTACTTCTATGCTTGAAAAAGAAAGACTCTTCTATAACCTAGAAATCCAACTGATTTTTGTACCCCGTAATTGTGAACACATAATCGTTTCTGCTCTTTCTCGAATCTACACAAGCCCCGAATCAGCATTAGCAAAACCTTCATGACTACCACTTTTCATCTTAAATATAAGGCATCTTCGAAAGTACCTTTCGAGTATCGTACCTACCATTTAACTACTTCCTAACGCTTTCTCTGGATTAGATATAAAACGGTCACAACTCCCATTACATGGGTAATATTTGGCCTGATGCACAACATAGCATACATCAAGCTACCAACTGCTTAGGCATATGGAAATTTAATCATATCTTCTTTGTATTCTTCCTTGTTTGGGGGCAGTTTAGTTGAGAATCTCAACTGAATTCCCAAAGGTGTACTTTTATGTTTTGCATCTGAAATGTTTAACTTCTCCAGAGCAGTTATGACGGACTTTTTTAAAAAGTTTAAAAGCACCAACAACTCTGTCTGTGGGTATGCTTATGCCCAATATATGCTTAGAATCCCATAGGTCCTTCATCTCAAAATCTATGGACAACTATATCTTTATGTTTTTTACTTTCATGAAGTTTAGATCTACCCATTCCGTTGCATGAAAGTATTAAACTTCAAGTACCAATATCTTGGAGCTTGCGTCAACCAATCCAAACCTTTCTTCTACTTTTACATCATATATTCCTTGCTAACTAAGAGAAAAATCTTTGGTTGTGCTATGTAGATGTCTTCTTCCAGGTCATCATTTAGAAAAGTTGTTTTTCACATCTAGTTTCTCTAGATGGATATCTTCCACAATTGCAGTATCCAAGACCAACATGATAGTATTTATCTTCACCGCTGGAGAGAAATTCAATTCATCTTTGACATTCACCTATCTCCAAGTTCATATGGGCTCCCAATCATTCCTGGACATTCACCTATCTCAGGAGTACTAGTAGGCTTTTACAATATCGTCTTCTAAGATTTATTAAAACTCAACTTTATTCTTCTTTTCTAGTTGATTTTCTCTATTGGGGTTTGCTACAATCTCCTACTTTTACAAGGCACTTTTGTTGAACACTATATCGCGACAACTGATAACCTTTTTTGTTAACTACTAATCATAAAAATGATAACCCATGTCAACCAACACGTAGCCTATGGATGTAAACTTATTTGCCTTTTCCTCGAGTTTGTCTCTTTCATATTAATTGAACTTTACATACTAGGCATAAACAAATACTTTCAAGTATCTGAGCGAAATCTCCCGACCATGTCATTCCACTTCTTAAATTTTCAACCCTATGGCGAGTAAGGGTCCTTTGTAAATTAAGTAAGTTGTTGTACTAATCTAATCTTCCCAAAACATTTTGGGCAACCCTCCATGTAGTCTCATGCTCTTTTTCCTCTCGTTCGGTGTAATGTTCATCCTCCCAGTCACACCATTATGTTGAGATGTTTCAGAAATTGTTTTCAACATCCTTATCCCATGTTCAACACAGTTTTCAAATATTTATTTGCTCTTATACTTAACCCCATTATCTGACTTGAGACGTTTAATCTTCATAATTTTTTCATTCTTAGCAATAACTTTCTATTTCTTTTGAAGGTACTAAATACTTGCAATTTGTTCTTTAAAAATAAACCTAAAACTTTCTAAGGAAATCCGTTAATAAAAGTAACATAGTACATGTAACCTCCCACTGAAGAAACTGAAGTGCAACCATATCCATCTGAATGAACTAACTCCAATTTCCCAACCTTGTGGTGTTGACCCTATTTTGAAAAAGTAGATTTCTTTTATATTCCAAGGAAACATGGCTTATAAAAGTCAATTGTGACATCCCCAATTTCATGGCCAGAAAAGATCGATTTGTTTATGTTTATTTAAAAATCAGAGTATCTTTTTTGAAGAATAATATTGCGGAATTTGTTCCCAAAAACATGATAATGTTATTATCAAATCATTTCCGAAGAAATGTATTTTATTTATATTAAAACATCAGGATGTCATCGTCAATACAAAAACATAAGCAAATATTACAAGCCTTATAGTAATTAAACTAATGGCCTAATACTACTTGAATCTCTCAGCAGAATATATCTTTAATATCGCTAGTTGTTATAAAATAAACTAAGTGGGTCAGGTTGGGATACCTGGTGAGTACATAGGGTTTGCAACTCATAATAATATAATTATTATGTGTAATCATCAAACAATTAACCCAGTTTCCCATCCCCCTTATCTTTTTTGTTCTTAAAGATCTACCCTAAGAATCATCTATTCTTCATTTATTTATTCCTAAGAATTGTACTACGGAATAGGCACGGCCATCGAAGCCAGGGTTTATCTAATAGGCACCAAGTCCATAGCTACCGATGTTATCTATTAGGCACAGCTGCCAATGTTATCTACTATGCACATCTACCAATGTTATCTCTTAGGCACAGCTGCCAATGTTATCTATTAGGCACAACTGCCAATGTTATCAATTAGGCACTAAGTCCCTAGCTGCCAGAGTTTTTAGAGTACATCTGATGAACACGTAGCTCAAAAACACCTACAGGTTGCGGGCTTACCAGCGTTCCACTCGACTGTCTAGAATAGTCTGTGGTTGTCATCTGTTCTTTGCTAGATGACTGGATCAGCTTTGAAGTCAAGGCTTCTAATCATCTTTCACCTCTCAACATCTATATCATCTTTCATCTCTTTTCATCCATATCATTTTTCATCTACCCATCTCTCACTGGTATTTAGTTATAGGTTGAAACAACATTAACAATTTTCATTTTATAAGACCTGATATATTTCAATTGAATGCTTGAACGTTTTGGCTTATGGATATCATGTTTTGGTTAGTGATTGATATAATATTGTTACCAAAGTAACGTATATTATTTTAATCAATTTGGTTTTAAATACATTAAGTATTATACGATATTGTTTATGTAAAATGTGTTCGGCTCAAAGTATGACATAGTTTGATAAATATTTCAAGTTGTCATTAAACTATAGTTATAACATGTTTTTTATGTTAATTTGACACCATCTTATGTATGGCACTTTAATTTTTGGTTATCAACAAATTATACTATGCCATATTATTTATTTTTATTGTAAATTAATTAACATAATATGTCACCAAAGTGATCTCTTTTATGAAAATTAATTTACAAATAACTTAAATATTTTGGTTTATGTGTTTATTAATGCAGATATCAATCGACCCAAAGGTAGGTTGATATTTTTCAGGATAAACACATATATAATAATAAACATGCGACAATTTTTTTAAAGGTTACATGTCATTAATAAGTCAATCCAAAGAGGGGCTTATTAATTAACATGATTTATTGTCAATGTTTATTTTACATTTTATGGTTTATGTGTTTTTTAATGCAAATATTAATCGACCCAAAGGCAGATTAATATTTAGTTGGATAAACACCTAAGTGGTGGTAAAAATATGATAATATTTTGGGTTCCATGTAATTAATGAGTAAATCCAAAGATGGGCTTATTGATTAACATGTTATATTGTCAATATTTTTACCAGTTAAACAAGTATATCCCTTGCAATTTAATATTACTGTCCAAAGACTGATATTAATGTTGTGTCGATATCTTGTAAAGATGTCATAAATTGAATTTATTGATTACGGTTTATGGATTAATGAGCATAAAAATAGATTTTGTTATGTTCTCAAAACAACAAATTTGAATTATGGTATTATATCTGCTAACATTGATCACATTTATGATTCATGTACTCAATAAGATTAACCTTAAGGAATGGAATGAGGGCATTATGTTAGTTCTCAATTGCATGAATATTGACCTTGCATTTTGGATAGAACAACATTCTTTGAGGATGTTGAGTTTGGGGGAGAAACAAGGTTAAAACATTGTTCTTAACGAGGAATCAATCTTGATTCCTATTATTGCTTTCGATAGTATGCAAATTATGAAGCAATGATCGACAATGTTATTCGATCTTCTATTCTGAATACACAAACTCAACAACCTTAACTTTGGATATCCTATGCGTGATACTACATTTTTTTCATCAATTTATTATCCTTTTGGTTTTGAAGGAAATACAGTAGATGATTTTGTGTATCACAGATTAAGTGGGAGTAAATTTATCTTTCTGGTTTTGGGCATATATCTACGCAACCCAAGTTTGGATCATAAGAAAGCAGCCAAATGGATTTTGAGATATCTATATATAACAAAAGGATATATGCTCAACTATAAGAAATCAGATTTTTTTGAGATCATTTTTTTATTAAGAATCAAATTTTATTAGATACCAAAATCGTTACCGATCCATGTCGGAATACTTTTACATTTTAGCATGATGAGCCATTTCATGGAATAGACTGCGGTAGCTTCTTCCATAAAGGCAACATAATTTGTAACATGGAATATTGTTGTGGAAATTTGTCACGAGGCTACACATTATGGGTATTGAAAGACCACTAAAGTTGTGATAATAAGTCAACCATGTTATATTCCAACAACAGAAGTTCTATTAAGTCAAAGCATATTGACATCAAGTTTCCTTCTATTAATACAATAGTGCAAAATGGAAATATATATATCACATATGAACAAACTCTACGAAAGCGGATCCGCTGATAAAGGGATTACCTCCCTAGGTCTTTCATGAACATACTACACATGCTGGTGTGATATTTGGTTTTAGTGGGAGTTTTATGGTGATTTATGTTTTGTTTAAGAACAATTATGTTTTTCTGTACAGAATTAAGAATTCAGTTAACTTAATTATTATTTGCACTTATTTGAAGTTTGATCCCACTTCAATCTAAAGAGGAACTTATTGGAAATCTATTTTTTATTTTGAAACCACACAATCATGTTTAATCTATGCCGTTTAGTTATATATGTATATGTGAATATTGATAGGTTTAATTACGTAAATTGTAACAAAGACCGCTTTGATCCTATACTATTATAATTAATGGACGAGATTGTTTAAGTGTACCGATATTATGATAACATACATTAAAGCGCTTATACAGTTGTATATGCATTTATATATTAATGGTCTAGTGGGATATTGTTAGAAAATTATGGGACCATTTTATAAATGCACACACACACACATACACACACACACATATATATATATATATATATATATATATATATCATTTAAATTCAGAAATATTATGGTAAGTGTATAAGATTGTTGATGTACCGATATTTATTTGCCATTTGTGGCTTGAGTTCTCGGTTTAACTCAAGATCCTTAAGATCCATTTTATCTCTCACTTTAGTGTTTATCTCCATCTATAAATACTTGTGATGAGGAGCAAATCAAGATACACGAAATTACTTCACAAATTCGTTTTCCGATTGCTAAGGGTTCTTCAAGGTTGTCTTAAGATCATCTTGAAACTCAACCCAGTTCTTCAGATTCGAAGATCATAATTAAACATATATTTAATCGTTCTTTCATGTTTAAGTTTTCTTTCAATCAGATTTGAGTTTAAGATCTAAAGCTTCCGCATTTTATGTTTTGGTTATCAAAATTAACCAACAAAAATATCATTTACTAAATGTGTAAACGAATTTAATCCGATTTGCAGTCAGGTTTACGGAACCAAAATTGTGGGTTTAGTGTTCATGGGTTTAATGAGGTTTTAAATAGATTTAGAACAGGTTGTTAATGAGCACAGCGTAAAATATACAAAAACAGTAAATCACTTACCTCCACCTCCACCTCCATTCGAATCGTTACAAGTAAACGAGAAATTTCCATTAGAACAGTAGCAAGCAAACAAATCAGGTGACGTCCAGTTTGACCCACATTGACCATTTGACCGAATACACCGATCACACTCATCATTTTTCGCCGTCCACTGTAGCTGGAAACCGGCCCTCACGCCTGACCTCAGATCATCTGTTGTAGCAACCCCTGACGCTAATCGAGCTCCTGAAGATTGATTCACCGGTACATCGATGCGATTTTGACACTGATCCAAGAAATTGGCCACGCTGGGGATTAGCTGATCAGTTCTTATGAAATAACTGTCACTTTGGCTCTCATTCACATTACAACTAAATCTGTAATTAGCGCTCAAAGGTATCACTGCACTACTAGTATTGCAATCGTAGTACAAAGACACATTCAGCTGCGGAAAATTATCACCGTTGAACAGCATCGAGTTGTAGGAGGTGTTGTATAGAAATCGAGGGCAAGAGCTTTCCCAGAGATCGTTTCTAGCGATGGTGATTATCTGTGTACTGGTATCCAAACGCAAAACTCGGTAGTTTACTGATTCGTAATTGAGTAGGGGAACATTCGATGGGCAGGTTAGCTGAAAACCAGGGTGGCCGCAGTATGCCGGACGATCTAACCCCCAAAATGGGTACTCTACTGGAATTTCTCCACAATCGACCGGTTCGCCACAAATATCAAATGGCCGCTGGGTTTCTTGGCACCAGATGGCTGGGAAATGGACACCAAAGGAGAGAATCACAGTGAAGACGAAGGGGGCTGAGCTCGGGGGTAGACTGGGTTTCATGGTGGTCGGGGTAGAAAGAAAGGAGCTGATGAAGAATGAATTAGAAAGAGGAAGTTTTGAAAAGAATGAAAGCAGGAAGAAGTCTATTATTGTTAACTCGTCTACAAAAAATAAAAACAATTTGTGAAAATAATGAAAGCATGAACAAGTCTATTGCAAACTCGTCAACAAAGAATGAAAATATCTAAAATTATGAAAATTCAAATCAAAATAGAGCCTTCCATTTGACTTTAGAGCATCTTTAAAAAAATTTCATCTTAATAAATATGTTTAACAAAAAGTTATTCTATAAAAAACTTTTTCAATACAATTTCTTTTAGAACACTCTAAAAGAAAAACAAGAACACACCAAACCAATTAGACTAAAATATCCCATGTCAACACTAAATGCCGTTGCGCTATAAGTACATGTGGATTGTCATCATGTAAAAATGAAATACAGATTTTAGAGAAGAAATATATAAAATAGAAGTATGTGCTGATGACTTTTTATGCTCACCCACACCACTTTGGTCACTTTTACATGAATTTCCAGGAAGATTAGATAATTCATAATACTAGTTTTATTTCAAAATCTCAGAATTTTCACTTACAGAGAACCAATCTGTTCATGCCACGTGACAGAAAACTTCAACATCTTTGAACTCAAATGTAGGGTATATACGAAAGAGGCTGGTTTAATGGTTGAATTCTTTAATTTTCCTTTTGCAACCTAAACATCATGTCAATCAATTAATAAAGGTGCATGGAGTCGTTGGATTGTGGTAATACGAAAGAGGCTGGTTTAATGGTTTAGCGTAATCGTGTCAGAGGTTGGGTGGTAATAATGCATCAACCCGTATACGATCTGTATAATTATTCGTGTCATGGGTTGTTAGGTCACGGGTTGACGGGTTGAAAACATCAACCCGGACACGACCCGTCTAATCCGTTTAATTATACGGGTCCGTGGGTTACATTCGGGTTGACGGGTTGACCTATGAACCCATATATTATTTGCGTAATAGTGAGGACTAGTTGATTTAGTGCACGCAATACCCATAGACTGATAGATGTAGTCCCATAATTTAAATCTAATATATTATACGTTGAACCACCTCTGGGGAGCTCGCTTTAAACCGGTAACAACCTTTAAAAAAATTATATGGGTTGGTGGATTAACCCGTGCACCCAATTACTAACTCGAACACGACATGTTTATTTGTCCGGTTGTCAGGTTCACTGGTCAAAAATATCAACCCAAATCCGTTTATTTTCGTGTCGGTTTCGTATCGTGTTGCGAGTCGTGTCGAAAATTGTCGCCCCTAGGTTTAGCCAACCGAGTGCTCCCACAATTTTCTCTCTTCTCTTCACTTGTATCATATGCATTGAAACTTTTAATAAAAGCTATAAGTCGGGAAGGATGAAAGCGAAAGACGTGAGAAAGTTGATGTGACATCTACGTGTCATGTGTATTAGGTGAGGTGAGAGTGCTCCCACACTCTTCTCTTCTCTTCACTTATATCTTATGCATTGAAGCTTGTAATAAAAGGTATGGATTGAAAGGGATGAAAATAAAAAACGTGAAAAAGTTGATGTGGCATTCAGGTGGCATGTGCAATAGGAGAGGTAAAATGGTTTTGTTTATTATCACCGGCCTAGAATGTATAATAACATTTATGTATTTTAGTAGTTGTCAAAAATATAAGCTAAAATATTATTTTTCATCTGTCCCAAATTGATTTCCATCTTTTTTTTTTTCAACCAAACAAATGATAGAATTTGATTCCCACTGAATTCTTAATCCATTAAATTCTAACATTTTTAATAAAATTCCAAATCCGTTCAAAACATGTGTTTGTCATATCCTTAAAGAATAAAAATTTCTTTTTATCATACTCTCATTATAAATAAAGGCTTAAATTTAAATGCTTATTTACGCAGCAACTTTCAAAAAACAAAATAAACAAACTGATTTTCACTACTAGAAAACTAGTGCAATAGCTACATCACAATCCGTAGCTATTCTGTAGCTATAAGCGGATAACTACGGAATTGCTACGGAAAAATGTATGTAGCATAATGGCCCGTGGGAAAATTATAGCTACGGATTAGATACGGAATAGCTACGGAATTTTCCGTAGCTACCATAGCTACGGAATAGCTACGGAAATAAATAGCTACAGATTTCCTACAGAATAGCTACGGAATTGAATAGCTACGGAATAACTACGAAAGTGGATAGCTACGGAATAGCTACGGAAGTGGATAGCTACGGAATAGCTATGGAAGTAAATAGCTACGGATTTTCTGTAGATAATCCGTAGCTAATTACTTTTTATTTTAAAAAAAAACAGTAAAAAATTATAAAGAAATCCAGTTTTTTCTATCCAAAATATTGAAAAACCCCATTACATTAAACTTAAAATGATATTGAAATTCAACTACAAAACAAATATTATAATAATAAAACTAATAAACCTAAAAAAGTATCAAATACAAATACATATTACTAATTAACATTGTCTATTGATACACATAATAAGTGTCAACTACAAATGTTTAAATAAGTGCTTACAAAATAAAATTGAATTTTTTTTGATGGATTACTTGGCAAATTGTCGGGTAAGTTGAATCGATAAAGGCTGACAAGTGCTCTTCAATTTGAGTTTTGAATCAAAGGCCGCCAATTGTTCCTGTTATAGCACACCATAATCAATGATCACAAAAAAAAATACAAATATAGTAATGTACTTTCATTTAATTGTTTATTATAGCCATAATTGGGAAATTTTTTGAAAGTGCAACACTATAAGTAAGACAAAATGAAAGTAGGATGTTATAATAAGCTTGTATATCTTTCATTTAACTAGCTCAGAAATAAAAACACATTTCCTTCCAAGACTACCAAACATACATAATACCTTTTGAACTTGTATTTTTTTGAAAATCAAAAGCATTTGTAAAGAGGAGGTTCGATCCATATTACGCCCCTGCACACCATATTTACGCCCCTGCAGCACACAGGAAAAAAAACTCTTAAACTTTTTGTTTCGTTCCAAGAACTTATAAATCCTAAAGATATAGACAAAAGATTCTTTGAAACAAACATTTACATTATTTATTACATTAAACAGCTTGCAAAGGGTGAAAGCCATCATGAATAAGAAAATTTAAACTCTTAAGCCTTTGGAAATTACCAAATGTTGTTTATATCTCCTAAACAAAGTGACCAAATGTTGTTTATATCCTCCTAATAACTTTTAAATCCTAAACAAAAGTTGTTTCTATATATTCTCTAAATCCTAAAACATATTGTTCATATTAATTTTTCATTATTACAACAAATAGATTCATTTTTTTCATGGCCAAACCTGTTTTTAAGAAGAAACATTGCTTAGGTTGGCAAACCCCTTTGAAATTAATCATCTTATAACCATTTTGACAATCTAGTTTCAACAAAAGTTTCTAAAGAACATTATATAAAATTGATTTTTAGGGGAATATAGCAAACAGTTAGGGATTCGGAGTTCTGGAATTCAATAGAATCAAAATGACAGTAACAAGGTTTTACCTTTCATATAAACCTAAAGATAAAATAAATATTTAAACACTTCAACTAAATATAAAATAAATATTTAAACACTTCACTTTCAAAGATTTAAAGAAATTAGGGTTTTACCTTTACAAATCAACTTAGGAAGAAGAGGATAAATAATTAGAGTGGGTGGTCCACTGACGACGGCTGAGGATGATCTGTCGACCGGAGGCAGCGTCGGCGACTGTTCTTCGGAGATGGAGGCAGCAAATCGACCGGAAAATGGAGGCAGCGGTGGAGGTTTTTAGCTTTGTTGGAGAAAAAAACGAGCAGCAAATCGACATGTTCTTCGGAGATGGAATATCTGGCTTTCACCCAGGAGACCCGGATTCGTTTCTCGGCAATGGAACCAGGAATGACGTAAGCAATGACATAAGAAACCATTATTAAAGAAGACACATTATTGAAGACATGTGGCCTTTCAATATGGAAAGGAATTGTAATTATTTGTCATTTGTCTTTTATAATTATTATTGTCAAAAAGTAGTGTCTATGATGTGAAATAAAGTGTATAACCCTCAATAGTCTAGGGGGCTATATTGTAAATATGTATGTCGTATTGCAATCAAACGATTGCAACTCAATTATGTAACCGGCTCTCTTGAGCCTATAAATAGGGCCTTTGCCCATATGAAATAAACAAGCTAAAATTGAGTGTTTAAGATTTGAGTTGTTCTCAATCTTCTTCTGTTGAAATAGCTCGTCTATTTCTGAATAGCAGAACCCTATCCAAACATATCCATATATTCATATAAACATATCAAACCCAGACAATCCATCCATCGTCAATCCATTCCGACGCATCATTCAGGTATATTCTGTCTTAATTTTATTAATTCCGCCATGTTTTTCAATTTGGTATCAGAGCATGTTTATATCAATTTGGTATCAGAGCTAAGTAACGTTCTTATTATTCTTATTACTAGTTTGCATATTCAATCTATCGTTAATAAGAATATATGCATATGCAGCATCATAAACATGATAATGAATAACCATTGTTTTTAAATATTCATATTTAAAAAAGTTATCAACAATTAAAATATTTATCATAAGAAGATTTAATACCATAAATATGTCTCAAGATATTTTCAATTGTTAAATCACTTTTATTTCTTCATGATAATATCATTTCGAGTTATTCTAACTATTAATTCTACAAAATTTGAAAATTTTTATTAAAATAATACTCGTTTTTAATAATCAAATTCATGCTTGAAATATATATTTATGTCTAACAAAATTTTGATGAATTGTATTCCTAATAAAAATATTATTTTAAGAATACAGCAAATCCAAGAATCTATAAATAATTCTCAGAAAAACCTCAAGGATTCTTACAAACCTAATAATCAAGGTACGATTTTAAACAATAACCATATTCATGATGTTAGATATTTCATAAGAACTAGTATTAAAATCC